GCTGGGGATTTAGCTCAGTGGCAAAAGCGCCTGCCTGGCAAGCACAAGGTCGTGAGTTCGGTTCCCGGTATCGGAGAAAAACCAAAAAAAAAAAAAAGACAAAAAAAAAAAACAAAGTGACTGATGTATGTTGGATTTAAGAGTTTTCCTACCCTGAGTGAAAGCAGTGTCTTGTGGGAAGCTGGATTTCAGGACAGAAAAGCAGAGTTAGGTTTATGTGTGCCAAGCCTGCCGCTCGCTCGCCACACACACCTGTGCACAGGACACACGTCCACACCAGCACATGCCTCATACCTCCCCCCATGCCTGGCACTGAACCCTGGTGGTGCCCACCTGGCGCCCCCTGGGTGTCCCAAGCCAGGCTCCCGGAACCTATACCAGAAGCCACTTGGCCCCCAATGGTAGACCAAGCCAAGAAAAACTCCAACTCAAAAGGAAAACACAAAGGCGCGTACCCAGCGTGGAATTCAGTGCGACTATGTCTTTCACGCTGGCTTCTGTTAAAAGGAAACGAACAAACAAATAAACACCAACAAAAGCTAAAACAAAATACAAGGAAAATAAAATAGAGAAGGCTGCCAGAGCCAGCTTCATCTGAGCTCTACCCAAAAGGCTCCCACCCACCTGCTATCCAGACTCTGGGGTCCCCAGAGGACCTATCCCACAGCATCCTGGGCCCATGTGGAGTCCCCCAGCGCCACCCTGCCGATACTGACCCAGGATCACCAGACCCTCGGGGTCCACCTCATACTCGGCCACGTAGGAGACGGGGGCCGAGCTGTTGGCAGCGGACAGCAGCTCCTCCACCAGCAGCACCTGCACCATCTCGGGGCTCAGCGTGGGCCGGAGATGCTCCGGGATTTGCAAGATGAACCAGAAGAAGCAAGTGAGAGGTCCCTCCCTAGGGCGGGCAGGCGAGAGGGGCCATATGTAAGTCCCTCAGTCTGATCCCCACCCAGCGCTTGCTCTCCCACCACGCAGGTGGCAGAGCGCTTCCTGTGTTCCTGGCGGCTCCACACCAAGGCCAACCTGCGTGCTATGGACTGCGCAGCAAGCGGCACAACCAGATGTGGCGAGGACAGACCCTGGGACTTACTATCAACCACCCTTCCCACCCCGATCTCTCCTAGAGTGACCAGACACGCCGGCCCCAGGCCTGGGGAAGTGTGAGCCCTGCCACAGCCCCGGACGCATGATTCTGCAGACAGGCAAACCAAGCTCTCGAGGGGTCACATGCAGGAAGCCCAGCTCCCACTCTGTGGCCTGGCGTCTGAGACAGACGGGGTTACATCCGAGGCTCACACCCCATTCTTTGGTTCTGAGGTTCTGGCAGGGGGTTGTGGGGGACAACTCACCCGAAGGAGTAGACAGAGCTGGAGTTGTAGTAAGTACCCAGGCGGGTGCTGGCGATGAGTTCTTTAAGCTGCGAGGAGGAACACGACAGCCCTGTGACTCTTCTGGTGACAGCAGGGGCTTCTGAGGCCTCTGCCCCTCCCAGCTTGATCCAGGGGCCTCAGGTGGGGATTTGTCACCCGCACACAGTGGCCACCTTTGCCTCTCCCCAGCACAGCTCTCAGCTCCACCTGTGGCCCCTCTGCCCCGGCCCCATCACCCTGAAACTCTGCAACGGCCCTCTGGGCCCCCTCCCAGCAATCCGGAGCCAGGCAGCCTGCTCCAGCTGGGTGCAGGAGGGACTGGTCCAGCGCCCTCAGTGACCGTGGAAATCAAGTTTCATGAATTATCTCAGTCTGCAGCAACTGTTCAGCCACATCCTCTTACCACAGCCCCCTTGATAAGGGAGGGAATGGAGAACCTCAGTTGGGTCCTCCTAAGCAGACCTGGTACCAGGAAGTCAGGCCAGTGATTTATTTGACTGTGGCCCAGAAGCTGGGTAGGGGTGGGACCTTGATGGTGTCCAGGACACTGCTGTGCCTTCCCTAAGGTCATGGGCCACTCCTTGTCAGAGGCAGGAGCAAGTGCCAATCCCAGCATCCCCACCACACCTACAGTGGGGTGGAACCCAGCGCTTCAGGGATGCTAGGCAAGGTCTCTTCCGTGGAGCCACATCCCCAGCCCATAGTCCTGGGGCATTTGACCCAACAGTCTGCTACACATCCCCAACCCCCCAATAGCGGTCCTCTTCCGTGGTTCCCAGGACGGGCTGTGTCCCAGCCAGTGCTCCGGGCATTGGCCACTGCCCTGACTCAATCAGAGCCCTCCCTCACCCTCCTCCGACCTGCCACCATTTCCTACCATCCTCTGGGCTTTGGCAGTCTCACTGCGGAAGGTGCTGGACTCTCGGCGGGCAAGGTCCTGGGAGAAGTGACGATTGAGCACCCGGAGGCTGCCTGCGTACACCTGGCTGACGGTCACCTCGGCCCTGTACCCTGTCCGGGAGGGAAGTGGCAAGGTGACGCAGGGAGCGGACAGGAAGGCCCCTGTCTCACCTTCATTCTGCCACCCGAACCCTCAGCATTATCACCATCGCCTTCACCAGCCTGCTCTTTGTCATCCTTCCCACCATGTTCAGACCAAGTCTCTCTGATGACAAGCTGGCTCCAAGGTGCCAGGGACAAGAGAGGCCCACAGACGGTGTCCCTAGGGCTCCCCGTGACAGGCGGATGCAGTGAGTGAGCCAGAGCATGGACACCACCCAAGCAAGGAGACCTGCACAGGCCCAGGAGGTCAAGGTTGTGGGTTGGCCCCTCTAGGCATCAGGCTGTCCAACTGCCCCGGGTGTCATCACTGGTAAACCTTGCTGGGGACGGCGCGGGAAGAGGCAGGTGTAAATCCAGCAACCATGCCACATGTGGGATCTGACTGTGGGCAGTGACATCTACAAGCACAAGGAGCTACTGAGGGGACACGACACAGGAAATGGGCCTGGCCACAGGGCCCTCTGCTAGGTGAGGACTAGGAGACTCTAGGTTGGGAGGAGAGATGGGAGGGCCGGGGACCTACAGCATGGGCAAAGGCCCCGGGGCCAACAGATTGTGGTAAGGAGCAGAGCTAAGAGCCCATGTGGTTGGAGAAGGGAAAGGGCAACAACAGCCAGGCTGTGTTGGGGGCAGGCTGGAGTCCCAGCAGAGGGCAAAGGAGACCATGGGAGGTTTGAGTCAGAGATGGCGTCAGCAGCTTTCTGCTTTACAAAGACCATTTCAGCTGATGTAAAGAAAGCAGATCCAGGCCACGTGTGGTGGTATGTGCAGGTAACCAAGAGAACCACAGTGAGGTCAAGGGCAGCCTGAACAAGACCCTGTCTCAAAAAAAAAAAAAAAAAAAAACTCCACAAGTATTTACTGAGAATGGGTCTAAGGTGCTTGGGAATATATCAGGCTATCAATCAACAAAACAATAAAGGAAAAACTGAGACCCTAAGAACTTGTCACCTAGCAAGGAAGACAATGAACAACAGTGTACAACACTTATCCGGGGGGAAAAAGCCATAAAATCAGGGGCTGTGCGTGGGCTGCAACATGGGGACCCAGGGGCTGGGGAAGAAGGTGGTGGAGTCGGGCTCGAGGCCGTGTTCAGGGGCAGCAAAGAGTGATGGGAGGGAGCTCAGCCAGAGCCATGAGGACAGGTTTCCAGGAGGAGGAGGCGCTCTGGGCCAGCGCAGAGCTGGGCACCAGGTTTAGCCACCTGGAGCACCGGCGACCTGGACAGTAGCGGTTGGAATCAGAGGGGAGCATGAGGTGCTGCTACAAAGCTCCCCAGAAAGATAGGGGTGGGACTGAGGGCTGCAGCACCTCAGACAGCTCCTGCTGGGTGTTGGCTGTAAGGGGTGCAGAGCAGCAGGGAGGTACCCTCAGGTTCAGGCACGTGGCACTGCTGGAGGACAGGGGTCTCTGCTCTGCACTGCACTGTTACATGGGCAAAGGGGGTGGGGTACAGAGACGGGCGGCCAGCGGGAGAAGCCGGGCAGCAGAAAGGGCCCATAGTATGGCAGGTGCAGGGGTTGGGGCCCGTCTGAAGGGCTTCCCTCCCGAGAGAATCCTTTTCTCATGGAGCGAGAAGAAAGTATCAAGTCCGCTGGGAGGGCAGGAGAGGGCAGCACCAGGGAGACACAGTTGGTGGCGCTAAGGGAGGCAGCAAGAGCCCCAGGGATCAGCAGGGCCCGTCCGCTATGGGCAGACGCTGGGGTCTGGCTGTCCCTTGCCCAGCCATGTGCCCCCCCTTGGGGCTGATGTGGCTCCACAGTACTCTGCTGCTGGCCCACGTCCCCTTCCTGGTGGGCATGGCACATCTGTGCCTCATCTGCCAGCCCAGTGCCCAGTACATGCAGCCAGCCCTCCTGGCAGCACCGGGAGTGCCTCCTCCATCCTTAATCTCTGTACGGTGTCTTTACCCAGTGAATCTGGGGAGCGTTCCCTCCGTGGGTCCCCTCCCTGGGCTGCAGAGAAAGGCAGTTGGCGGGTGAGTTCCTGGCCCCGCAGCCCAGCGCTCCCAAGTTTACCCTGAAGACTAACTACCCTGCAGCCTGAAGAGGCCTCCGAAGACCCGTGCTATTTGGGGTGCTGGCTTCCTGCCCGTGGTGAAGTGCACACAGCATCTGCTCCCAGCAGAGGTGCCTGCTCTGAGCAGCATCCATGAGTCACTGCGGGTGGTCAAACCCAGGGATCCCAGCCCCATTACCCCAGGGTTTCAGATCCCCCGTCTGAATTGGGCCTACACAGACCTATCTCCCTGGTGGCTGCTCCAGATGGGCTCCCCAGTTTCTTCCAAAGGGCCTGAAATTCCACCAGGAGGCTTAGCTGGGAAGAACCCTGTCTAGAACCCTGGTGTGGAGGCCTGCACCTGCCATCTCAGCCACTTAGGAAGCTGAGGCAGGAGGATTTTGAGCCCAGCCTGGGCAACTTAGTGACACCTTGCCTAAACATAAAAAAGACTGGGGATGTAGCTCAGTGATAGAGATAGGTTCAATCCTCAGTACTGAAAAAAAAAAAAAAAAAAAATGAACCCACCAAACTGAAATCGTACACTTAAACAGGTAAGCAGGATACGGTAACACAGACATTTATGATCCCAGCTATAGTACTTGGGAGGTGGAGCTCAGAGGATCATAAGGTTGAGGCCAACCTTAGTAACGAAGTGAGATCTTATCTCAAAATAAAATTTTTAAAAGATCTGGGGATGTAGTTTGATGGCAGAACGCTTGCCCACCATGTGCCTGACCCAGCGTCCAGTCCTCAGCACCACAAAAATAACAACAACAACAAAAAGCCCTATCTGACCTTTGCAGACTCTTAACAGGAAGCCGCACATCACCTAGGCAGACCAGGTGTCCCTTCTGTGGCTTCCAGGCCCCTCGGCTTCCGCTATCCTAGCACAGTGGTGCTGTGTTATAACCACTGCGTCTGACCCCAGAACTCAGCACAGGGCCCCTCGCAGGGGAGGTGCGTGGCACTGGGTGAAGGAGTGAAAAAGTCTCCAGGGGTGCACAGGGAGTGTTTCGCCAGACGCACTACACTTTGTCTCTCTTCTTGTCATAGGAGCTAGAGGGAGATGCATCTCCACCGTTTGGGGGAAAAATGCCTATTAGATGTCAAGAGCATCCGTCCAATGACCAAGTGGGAGATGGTGCACCCAGGCCCAGCTGCTCCAGGGACTGACCCAGCACCGTGCTATCAGGGAAGGAGGGCCAAGTCAGAGGTCGGCAGAGGCCCCAAGCCTGGCCACTCTCCAGTCTGCCCCTCTTTCCCTCCCATTCACAAGGGGCCCCGGAGACCCGGAGCTGCCGGAGCTGTGATCTCCCTGGAGCACCAGGCTGGCTCAGATGAACAGAGCCCCGAATTCGAAGCAGGCACCGCGGAGCCCTGGGCTCGCGCAGCAGCACCAGGCCAGCTCTGAGTCATGTTTACTCCGGGTGGCTCGCAGGTTCCGAGGACTGGCTGCTGGGGAGCGGAGGTTTGGCTGCATTGCCCACCTCAGGGGACCTGGAGGAGGCCCGGGGAGAGAGGCGCCTTGCCGCAGCTACACAGAGAGTGGCCAGGTACCTCTGAGCCTGGACTCCCGGTCTGCGCTGCCATGGTCCCCACAGCCTCCTTCCAGCCTCCCCCAGTGCCTCTCCCAAGAGCATTACCTAGGAAATACCAGAGCATCACCCCCACTGAAGCCAGCACAACCAGAGCCAGCCACAGGGGCGCCAGGCACATGTAGTCCCGGGCTTTCCTCTTGGAGGCCTTAAACATCCCCTCGGGCTCCGCTTCCTCACCGTCGCCTCCGTCACCCTGCCCGCCGGCGAGCTGGGGGGCCTCGGCCCTCGGCATCCTGCGGGGAGAGAGCAGAACTGGAAACAGCCTTGGCCAAGCACCGGCCGCGCTTCGCTTCTGCCACTCGGGTGGAAGGGTGACAACCGCAGGTAGCCGTGACGGAAGGTGGACTCCGAGCCAGCTCGCAGTGGAGGTCAGCCAGCCCCAGAGCCGCTCTGGGGCAGCAGCACTGGACATCAGGTTCAAGCTCACTTGGCACGACTGCCTCCCTGCTCAGAGGGCTGCAGAGGAGGCAGCACCTGGCCACCCAGAACCAGGACCAGGTACTGCCCTGTGGACCGGTCCCCTCGCATGACTTCCCCGCAAACCTGGTGCTCCTCATCCCCTCCCCCCAGCCCTGAGCCACTGCTGCGCTGGAAGAGACCTGGCCCTTCACACTGTCCTTCCCAAGGTTTCCTGACCCTCTCAAAACCTCTTGGGTCTGAGGGAGGGAACACAAGTTAATATTCCCTCAGCACCCTCAGGTGACAGTTCCTATAGCCTCATCTAATCCTCATGTTGTCACCTTGGGATGTGGGACCACTGTCTCCCACGCAGTCCTTCTTAGCCCATTCTGCACACCTCACATACATTCTCGATTAAATCTCCAAACACCTCTCCCCGCCCTGCATGCATCAGACAGACAAGGAAACTGAGATCCCGGGAGTACTAGCAATAGCTCAGTCCAGGTCTTTCCTAGCTTCTTTTGCGCAGTGTGGCTTGAATACCTGGCATTTTACACAGAAAAAGGACTGAAGCCCAGAGAGGCTAAGCCTCTTGCTCAAGGTCACACAGCAGGTAAGTGAGGCTTGAGTCCAGGTGTCTGTCTCTCTGCTCCTTCCCCTACTAGGGGATTCTTCCTAGAAATGGGCTGTTAATTAACAAACTGTTAAATAGCAGCTGGACGTCACCCCTCTCGGTGTCTCTGTCTGGTGCTTTATCTTCAGACTCTCCGAGAAAGAGTCCCCACAGGACAGAGAAGCCCTTCACCCCTCACCTTCATGGTGAGCATTCCAGACCACTAGAACCTCAGTCTCTTATGACTCATAAATGGCACCATGGCTTTAAAATTCACCTGGGCTGAAGCACTTCCCACCTGGACTTCTGGTCCAGCCTCCCAGCCGGCTTCTTGGCTCCCTCTACCCCTCCTCCGGCTGGCAGCCATCCAAACTGCAGCCCGCTGCTGCCCACCCTCACTCTGAGCCACAGCATCTGTCACGCACACCACCCTCGGGGCTTGTGCCACCTGCCTGGACCTTGGGGTTCCTTCCCAAGCCACCTGCTGGTAGTAGGTTTCAGGGCCCTGGGGCACCTCTGCCCCTGGGCAGCTTTTGATCAGATCCACAGTATGCCTGGTGCTGGGCCTTGTCTCTGTCCCCCTTTTAAAAGCTGAGCCTGTGTCTGGCCACTTCTGGGTTCTCTGGCCACCCAAAACAGGACCTGTCACGTGAATGCATGACGGAGGACAGGAGGGATGAATAAGGCAGCCAGAGCTCAGCCGTGCTTTCTCCTGCATTTGCTGCCTGTGGGAAGTGGGACTGGGGCAACGCATTGGCCCACAGGGTCCCAAATTCCATGGAAGGGACACCCCACTTTGGTCGAGCACTCACATGGATTCAAGCCCCATGCTGGGGTGCACAAGGACCCCTCTCCATCCTCCACAGGGTCTCACCCAACAGAAGAGAGGGCCACAGCCAGTCATGCAAATGCCCACACCGTTGTGTCTTCCCCTGTTATTCAACATCCATCTGTCCTGCTATTCCGGGATACCAGCCCTCCAGACAAGCCCCACCTTCCAAATGCCCCCCAGGACCCAGGCTCCCTTGGTAACCTCGTGTTTCCCACAGTCACCCACAGCACATCGTGTGTCACCTGGACTTCTGCAATAGTCAGTCAGCTGCAGCAGGGAATTCCCACATAGCTGCCAGAGTGCTGCACCTACCATCCGCCCTCCCCTTCCCTCCTGACCAGTGCCAGGTCCAGGTCTCCCTGCTGGAGGCTGGGCTCCCTGGGGCCCGGCCGTGGCAATCCTGACCCCCAAATGTGCAGCAGCGTCATCCCACACAGTGCTGCAAATTGGGGTTCATTTCTCCTCTGGGAGCCTGGGATATGTGCTCTGCTACCTCTATTGGTAATTGGGGAAAATGAGGCAGATGAAGTCACATAGCCAGGGCCAATCAGGAATCCTCATCGAGGACCATGAGAGCCTGAGGAAGTCCCGGCTGTGAGCTCCTGCAGCTGGGGGTCCCTGAGTGCGGGAAAGGCTGGAGGGGACCACGCCACACGCACAGGTGCACTCTCAAACTCACACAGAGACAAATACAGTCCAAAGGACACACGCGTGCCTGCTCACAGCACAGGCTCAGGGTGCAGAGCCCTGCTCACGCACACACGGACGCACACATGCACACGACCTGCTCAGCCTGTGAGCCAGAGCCCGGTGTGGGGTCCTTCACAGGGTGGGGTGGGGCTCTGGGTCTGTCTCTCCCCTCGACCAGGAGGGAGGCAGCCCTCCAGGCCTGCAGGGCAAGAAGAAGGGACTGGCCCAAGAAATCAGGCCTCTCCCCATCCCTGCCCCAATCCCAGGCCACCCGCACCGACACTGTAGCCCTCCAGTGCCGGCGCCTTCTACATGGCTGGGCCTGCCCTGCCCCAGTTCTGCTCACAGGTCACTCTCTGGCTAGTGAGGCCTGCAGGCCTGGCCTCAAAGCAGGACAGATGGCTCAAGCCCCAGAGAATCTCTTTGGCTGTTGGAGGGCCCTGACTGTCACCACGTCATTCATAGATCCCTGTCCCTGGTTCCCAAGTCCCCTGCTTACCTCCTGGAGTGGGAGGTGGGTGGCGGTCCCACACACAGGCCTCGGCAGCTCTGTTTGTCCAGGCCAAGGTTTCTCCACCCCCACCAGGCTGGCCTGCGGGTGGATCAATGGCCCAGAGCCATGGCTGGGGTGTCTGGCCCTTGTCCTCTGTGGCCTGTGGCCCTGGGCTCCATGGGCCTCCTGCCGGGTCCAGGACGGCACCGGGACTGAGCACAGGTAAACAGGCGAGGGCAGGAGGGAGAAAGTGCCCGCCCCTCTCTGCCTGCCCCGCCCCGCTGGCACCCTGGAGGCTGGCAGGCAGGTGCCGGAGACCTGAGCTCTCCCCCGGGGCTGTTGCCTGGTGATGGACCTGCCTGGTTACAGCCCCCCCATCCCCAAGAGCATGAGCGTGAGGAGCTGAGGATTGGGGGCCGCACAGAGGCCTGTACAAGTAGAACTGGGGCCCACACGGGTCCGCTTATCTGGACAGGTGAGACGGAGGAGTCCCTGGTTGAGAGAGAGAGAGGGAGGAGGGGCTGCTCACTCCAGGGACCAGAGAGGAGCGAGTGGAGGTGGGGGCAGGGTTTGATGCCATTTTCTGTGTCGCTGGGAATTACAGTATTGAAATTATAGTATTGCCTTATTCTACCACGCCCACTGTCCATGATGGAGACCTTGGGCCCAAGCACACCTGAGATGAGCTCAGGAGTAAGAGACTGTGACAGTTAACCTCGGCTGTCAACTCAATGGCTTGAGAGTTGCCTAGGAGATTAGCTAAGTGCACTTCTGGGTGTGTCTGGGTGGGCCGTGGGAGTGTGACGTTGGGGACTATATCTGGTCCCCACCCCTTTCCCCCCTGACTCTCTTGCTGGTCCCTCTGCTTCCTGGCTGCCAGGAGATGGGCAGCTCTTCTCCTCCACACCCTCTTGCCATGCTGTTCTGGTCATGTACCCAGAGGGACATGGACTGCAGCCTCAGTAACCATGAGCCACATTAGACCTTTCCTCCTCTACAGGGACACGTCACAGTGATGGAAAGCTGACTGACACACACACATGCCAGACTTCTAAAACTTAGTACAAGAAGCATAAATGACCGCCATAAGCATTTGTATATTGATTTCATGTTGAAATGGTAGCATTTCTCCTGACTCAGGTAAAATACAATGTATTATTAAAATTAAGTTCACCTGCTTTTACACATTTTTAGTGCGACTATCCGAAAACTTAAATTTCAGTTGTGGCTCACGTGACGGTTCTAGGGAAGGGCACTGCTGTGCGGATGTGGGCCTGACCTGAGCGGCCCAACAAGGCAGGTGACATGATGAGGGTGTCCTGGATTATGCACAGCCCAGCAGGGGTCTGTCACAATGAGGAGGTTGACTGTCAACCTGTGTGTTCTGAGGCCAGAATGTGGCATGTGAATCTGAGACTTGCAGGTCCTGAGAAGTGTGTGTGTGTGTGTGTGTGAACTATGCATGCATGGTATATTGTGGAGGATGCATGTAGAATGGGGCTGTGAGTGTGCGTTTTTTGTGTATGTGTACACAGTGTGAGGGTAAGAACGTACACACTAGGCATGTGTGCAAAATACATGTATGTCTAATATGTGGCATGATAGGGGTGTGTGGAGCACAAGCAGTGAGAGGGGGTGTGCTCACGATGGGCAGCATGTATTTGTGTGTATAGAGTGTAGGGTGCGGGTGAATGGGTGTGTGGAGCCTGAGACGTGTGGCACGTGCGACATGTGTACCATATGCAGTGTGTGCGGAGTGGGAGCTGTGTGAAAGCAAGGATGTGCATGGTATGGAGCGTGTGGCATGAGGGTGAGTGCACATCGCTCAGTGAGGGCACTGGGCTCTGTAGCTGGGGAGCTGAGTTCTGATCCCTGATTCTCACCCATCAAACGCAGGCCTCGGGGCCTCCCAGATGCCCAGGGACTGCGGGAAGGCCCAGTTTTGGGGACCAGCTGGCTAAGACTGGGGAGGGGTGCCTCTAACCTTTGCTCCTTCTCAGAGCTGCGCCCTGCAGGGCCTGATCCTGACTCTACCTGCTCTGCCCCAGCCAGGCCCCAGGACCCCTCTCTGCCGCCTCCTCTCTCCCTGGGCCCTGGGCTCAAAAACTCTCTGAAGGACAAGATCTTGGGAGGGGAGCGGGGACAGTGTGTGAGTGGGGACAGTGACAGCCTGAGCCCTGCCTCTATGCCCCTCCTGCACTCTGGAAGGTCAGGTGGCCCAGGCCCGGCCCAGGCAGTCCAGCAACTGGACGGCCTAGAGGCAGATGTTGCACAACGATGTCCTCTGTCCCTGACACCCTGCCATCGATCAGCCAAGTCTGGGGGAGGGGTGGCCCCAGAGGACAGCAGGGGACACTGCAGGAGGCACTGGGCACTGTGGGCAAGGGCTTCCTGCTGCCGCAAGAGTGACCGTGTGGTCTAGACACTCACGTGCCCGCTCACACACACACAGGGGATGAAATCTGCACTGCACACCAGTGCTGGCCCTCGGCCTCTCCAGGCCCCAGGTGCCCAGGCTCAGAGGAGCTACTTGGAGACCATGTGGATTGCAGGCCAGGTGACATGCAGGACGCGAACAGACAGGGGTCAGCATGCCCACCGCACTCAGAACAGAAAGATCCCCCCAGGGGTGAGAAGCCAGAAATCCTAGTCTCTACCTGCTGGGGACCAGACAAGATGTGTCCGCTGCCCAGGCTGCTCCCTGTGGCCTTGGAATGGGACACAAAGCTGGACTGTTGAAGGCAGAAAAGTATAAGGTGGCTCCGACTCCAGTCTGACAGGGCACCGCGTAAAGAGGCCTGTGGGGACAGAGACTCGCATTCAGGAGATCGGCCAGAGGATGGAAGTGAGGTCAGGCGGCAGCAAACCACCAGGTGCCAGAGGTGAGACCGGGTCAGGGTCCTCAAGCCCACCAGAGGCTGCCGTGTGGACACCTCGATTCCGATATGTAGCTGGAGGACGCGCAAGGTCGCACGTCTCCACCCAACCTGGAACCATGCTCTGCACTTGGTCACAGCAAACATACACAGCTCTCGGGGAACCGGCGTCAGGTAAATGCTGGGCACCGCCTCCTGCTGGTGTCTGGCTTCCTCCTAGGGGAGGAACACAGCTGGTGCTCACTCATTTTCCATCACAGGGCCCACGAGCTATTTTCTTTTTTCTTTTCTTCTTTTCTTTCTTCCTTCCTTTTCTTTCTTTCCTTCTTCCTTCCTTCCCTTCTTCCTTCTTTCCTTCCTTCCTTTTTTTTTTTTTTTCAGCACTGGGTATCGAACCCAGGACCTTCGTCCTGAGCCATACCCCAGATCTTTTTTTATTTTGAGACAGGGTCTCAGGAAGTCACTAAGTTGCCCCAGCTGGAGTCAAACTTGCGATCGTCCTGCCTCAGCCTCCCAGGTGCTGGGATTGCAGGCGTGCACCACCCGGTCCAGCAGGGATCAGCTCTGACAAGTAAACAAAGACAGTCAGCTCCTCTCATGGTGTCGCAGCGTGGGCTTGCGGGCTAGCCATCTACAGTCCACAACGTGACTAGCGCGGCAATGGCCTGTCACTCAGTTATGAGGCTTTGAGGGGTCTCCATGGGGGCGGCCCATCTTCCTCCATCTGTCCAGGGATTCAAGGTCCCTAAGGCTTTCTAGGCCTCTAAGCCAGGGGTTGCCCAGCCTTGTTAAGAACAAGGCTGCACAGCAGGAGGCAGGCAGACAAGCGAAGATTCACCCGTGTTTCCAGCCACTGCCCACTCACACCTCACTCACACCACCATTCACACTCTCCTCACACCTCCACTCGCACTCCACTCACACTCCATTCACACCACCATCCATACTCTCCTCACACTCCCCGTTTCTGCCATTTTACAGGTGAGAGGTAGAGATCCTGGCGACAGCAGCACTTGCTCAAATCACATAGGCAGGAAGGGCTGGGAGCTGGGGTTCAAGCCCAGGACTCCGATGTCAGAGCCACCCTGTTCTGCCTCTGTGTCTGCCTCTGCCTCCTCTTCTGTCACTCCTCCCCCCCATTCTGCCCCAGCCCCAGGTCCTGGCTCTGGCCTCGTACGAAGGTGCCACTAGAGGATGCTGCTGGCCTGGACGTGCCCCCAACCACGTGGTCAGGACCGGTCCAAGCCATGCAGCCCCCTCAAAACTAATGTCCAGCTTGAACAGTGCAGTGCACACAGTATGTGCTCAATAAATACAGCAGAATGAATAAGTCGTGGGTATGCAGCAGCAGGGTGACTGTCCAACACGTCACATTAGGTTGTTCTTATCAGCAACTTGCCTGGGATGTTTACCCCAGAACCAAGCATGGTAGTACACACCTGCAATCCCAGTAGTCTGAGGCAGGAGCATTGCAAAATCAAGCCTAGCCTGGACAACTTTGTAACGTAAGGAGATCCTGTCTCAAAATTTAAAACTTAAAAAGAAAATGTTAAGGCAGAAGTTGAGGAAGGACCCTGTTAGCAAATTTGGTGGATGTCTTTAACCAAGGAGGGCCCTCCTCATCCCTCTCACAGAGCAGACTGCCTCAGCCTAAAGGGAGCTCAGAGGTGACACAGATCCACCCTCCTGGCCCCTCTCATCCCATTTTCAGATGGGTAGACTGAGGCTCAAAGGGGCCCAGTGAGACCATTCAGGGGCGGGAATGGCCTTGACCTTGGCTGGTAGCAGCTAACATGGGTGGACTTGAGGGGTAGGAGGAAGACCCCGTAGCTTTTCACCCTGTAGCATGTGTCACCCCTCCTGGAATGTCATCTTCAGAGACGAGGACACACCCCCTGCTGTTACCCCTGAGACCTGCCTAGGTGCTGGCAGAGGCCCGGCGTGAGGTTGGAGAGGAGGAGTTAACAGGAGCTCAGCCTGTGAGGGGGCCCAGGCAGCCTGCGGGCCACGGGTAGCAGCCCTGACCCTGTCTGTCTCCCTGCAGCCAGCTCTCCTCTGCTAGGTACACGTGCGTGGGCATCTCACCCTCATGCATCCTGGCACCCTGTCACAGGTGAGAAAGCTGAGGCAGGAGACGCTCAGCACTTGCCAAGGTCACAGCTGAGAGGCAACAGATCCAAACCGGACCCAGTCTGCCCAGCTCCAGCCCAAGGGCTGTAACCACTGCGCCACACTGCCCGCAGGGGGCTGCAAGGCTGCCTGGGGAAGCGGGAGGGTGTTCCGTCTCCTGCCGGGTCGCCAGCACTGAGCAACCTGCCTTGTACACCACCGGCCCTCCTTAACTGTATGCTGATGAGTGAATGAATAACAGAATGAACGAACTACTCCTGTCTCTCCCAAGAACTGTCCCCACCACCTGCTCCCCACACAGCTGCTCGCGCTGCGCCTCCTGCTAACTCAGCATCCTACCCTCCTTCCCAGGTGGGAGCCCCGCTCCTAACAACGCCTGGGCCTGTGCTATCGGGCCCTGCTTGGTTTTCCTCCTTCTCGCATCTGCGCCCTTGGCGGGCGGTCACTGCCTCCCTGCACACGCGGTCAGCGGCCGCTCCCCTCCTGCATCCTGGCTTCCTGGAACTGCAGCCTGGGAGCCACCCGGCAGCCTGCACCACCTCACGCTCCCCGGGCTTCCTGCCCTGCTCCCCACCTCCCCTGGCTGGAGCACAGATGCGTCACATCCCCCGGTGGAAAGAGACTCCACGAAGGGGCTGCCCCAGAGCTGTCACAGGCGGGCGGGCCTGGCTGCTGCTGCTGAGCCCTGTCTCTCCCCTCCTCCCGCCAGTTTACTGCCTGGGCCCCAGAGCGCCAGCCTGTCCTCCACTGAGAAACGGGACTTCGAATCTGTCCTTCCTGTCCCGCCAGGTGATGCTGAGATGTCATATGCTGCGTGCAGATGAGCTCTCAAAGGACAGAAGAGCTGGGCCCCTGTGAGTGCCCCATCGCCTGGCTCCACACCCTCACTCCACCTGTCATCCCCGTGTGACCTCGGGCAGGTCACCTCCCCACTTTGAATCAGTCAAGCTATAAGCCGGGCCAGAGAAGTCCCTCCCTTGGGCACTGACATATGGAGCAAGTTAGTAACACGGTGCTTAGAACAGAGTCCAATTCGAACGCACCTAGGTGCTCCATATGCAGCGCTCCTCTTCCTCCTCCTCCTCTTCCTCCTCCTCCTCCTCCTCCTCTCCCTCCTCCTTTTCTTTTTGGTGGTTCTGGAGACTGAACCTAGCATCTTCACACTGAGCTACATCCCCAAACCAGCCCTGCCTTTTTCAATTTTTAGACAAAGTCTCACTAAGTCACTAAGTTGGCCAGGTTGGGTTCAAACTTGTGATCCTCCTGCCCCAGGCTCCCAGAGTGCTATCATTATTACCCCTGTACCCCTATAATCTGCCCAAGGTCTGACCCAAAGCACAACAGATATAACAACAGAGATAGAGGAGGAGGCGGGGGCCCGGGCAAGGTCACCCCGGTGCCACTCCCACTGGCCCTACCCAGCCCCAGGACCGGGTGCTCTAAACACAGCGCTTTCCTCTCCTCCCACAGTCACAGCGGTGGATCGCGGTATCTCCAGGTTTGTCCCACGAAGCTAAGAATGGAATCTCGCTCACTTTTTGCCTGATTATCCTCATCTCCAGTACAGGTTTGAATCTGGATAGGGTGCAAAGCTTGTAGCCCAATACATGTGAGTCTGAATCTTGGCGTTACCGCCAGCTGTACTTCTGAACTTCTCTGAGCCTCAGTTTCCTGCTCTGCGTCATGTGGAACAGCAATCCTGCTTCTCAGACTCGTTTTCAGGGGACAAGAGATGGCACTTGGGCAGTGCCTGGCACCAAAGATGGGCCCCCTCCCTGGTGTGCTTTTTGGTCGTTTTGGTGAAGGTGCTATTTTCCCCTCGGTGAACGGTACATCAGCCGCGAGAAGGGCGATGATGGACTAGTCGTTGTACACTGGGCCTACAGGTGCCACCAGCCTTGGCTTGGAAGCTGCTCGGAGTAGGATCTGGGAGCACAGCAAGACAGGGAGAACCGGGGAGGCGAAGGACCAGTGCACCAAGAAGAAAGGTGAGAAGCCAGAGCCCTCTCCTCTCGGCCCCCAGATCTGCCGCCTGCCTCCTGCTTCCCTCTGCACCTGATGGTTCTCTAGGGCCCTGGGGGGCTGAGCCTGCTCCCCAGCTGGTGCCTTCACCCCCACCTCATCAGCTGCTTCCTCCTCACCCCCTCCCAAAGATGCCACCTCCCCCCACCCTCAGTGTGAGGTGGCCTTTCCCCCACTCCCCGCAGCTCAGGTCTCTCGTCAGGCATGGTGGGGACAGCTGGGCTCCCTGGACCTGCCTGCGCCTAGACCCCTCTTGGCTTTCCATGCCCCACAGTCTCAGCTTCGCTTTTCCACCTGGAAAATTAGAGTTGAGAAAATTGAGAGCTCCTTTTGCAAAAAGAACTTGAGAGGTTATGTGGTCCACATATGTCACCAGGTACCAGCTGTGGTCGGCTAGGGGTTGTCCCTGGCAGGTACTGAAAACTCTGAAGTGCACCCAGGCTCTGCAGCAAGGCAGGCCATGATCGACTAGATATGTCTGCCATGCATGGGTGCAATCCATTAGTAATGTCTGTGCGGCTCCGCATTTATGAATGCCAGAAATTGTTATCCATACTCTGGGTCATCATTTTTTCAGGGCACTGAGAAAAACATGACAGGTAGATAGACAGAGAGACAGGTAGTTATCAATATTTCCCAAGGACAGATCTATGAGGTATATGAGAGATGTTAGTTCCTAGATACCAAATAAGATCAACCTGACTCCTAGCAGAGAAAGATATTCCCTTTGCAATTTTGCTTGCTCCCAGGGACAAAGTTCCATTTGGTTTTCATAACTCCCCATACTTGCTAATCTTCCCTGTAGACCAACAGACAGCAGGTTTCCACTGAGCAGTGAATATAAAAGTTTTGCTTCATTGTACTCGCCTTTTACAGTTGCCATTTATTTATAGTGAATTCAGTTTTTCCACTCACAGATACACTATAAAGATTTTTCTTAGCCTGGGAAGGTGGCACACACCTGTATCCCAACACTCTAGAAGGCTGAGACAGGAGGATTACAGGTTTGAGCCCAGCCTGAGCAACCTAGCAAGACCCTGACTCAAAATAAAAAATAAAAAGGCTGAGGATGTAGCTCAGTGCAAAAGTCCTAGGTTTAATCCACAGCACTGCCAACATTATTTTTTGAAAAAGATTTTTCTTTAAACATATTTTTAAAAAGTGAATAAATTTTTTAAAAATATTAAGAAAACAGTAACAATGATAGTACACAGAAATGCATCTGTCCTCAAGTTCTGAGAAATTTAATCCACCTGGGAACTTTTCAAAGTGTGGGGGTGAATATTACCTCTATTTTGGAGACAGGGTAACTGAACGGAGAGGTCTGGCCGCTTGGGCCAAGACACACAGCAAAGGTGTGGCCCCAGCTCTGATGTGACCCACCGGGCAGGGCTGAGGAGCCCTTGTGGCCTGGGACACACAAACTTGTATATCAGAAGGTGGGAATGAGGCTGCCAGGTCATTAAGCTCTTTCCATAGTAAAGACCCAAGACTCACCCAACCTCAAGAAAAACTTTATTTTGAACATAAAAAGACAGGGATCAGGACAGAATGGTGCAGGCAGTAGGAGTTTCTGTCAGGACCTCCCCCTGCCTTCTGCTCATGAGGCTCAACACCTCTCTCCCAGCTCCTGGGAGCCCTGTTCCCAAGCACCTGCCCCCCCTACCCCCTCTCACTCTTCCTCCAGTTTAAATGCCTGAGCCCAAGAGATAATCTGATTGACTAGATCATGCCTAGCCTTCTTGTTTGGACAGAGTTTCTGTACCAAGCTTTCTCATAGGCTGCTAGTCAGCCTGTGGGTGGGCTTCTGGTCAGATGCCCAATCAGCCGCGAGAAGGACTTATAAATGTAGGCCCTGCTGCTCCCAAGCCAGTCAGTTGGCACTGGGAGTCTTTCCTGCAGGGGTGTGGGATGGTGGTCACTGTGGACAGTGCCAGGCACAGAGGGAAGAGGGGCAGAGGGGTGGTGGGAAGGGCCAGCCCTGTAAGAAGGGAGCACTGAATGCGAAGGGACCAGACTCTTGCTGGTCCGTATGCAGGCAATCCAGGGGATTCATGAGGGCAAGAACCCTCAGGTGAAAGCTGCCCAGGGTGGGGACCTCTTGCTGGAAGGAAGAGGCTGCTGCCTGGGCTGCAGGGACTCCCGGGTTTACTCCCTTGTGAGTCTGTGAGGCCACCATGGAAAGCTCCAGAAGGGTCCCCGCCATGGGGATTTCTGTCTGTTCCTGGGTGGAGCACTCTCAGGCCAAGAGAGAGCCCTTCTCCACCACCCGGGACCTGGGTGGTGTTCCCTCCCGGCACTGGATCCAGCAATGTTTCCCTTGGGGGAAGCAGACTGTCACCTAGAGGAGGCGTGGGTGCCCCGGATATTGGCCACAGCACATCCAAAGTGCAAGGCAGCTTTTAGGAGCGTGCTGAGGCCACTTGTAAGGGTCTCAGAAGGGACTGTCCAGACATGGAAGGGTAAGTGGCAGGCTAAGGGTGGTGCTGAGGGCCCCGGAGCCAGGCAGGGTTTGGAGCAGGTGAGGGGCGCAGCCGTGTTTATGTGTGGGAATCACACTCTGGTGCCCTGCAGAGGAAGCTCGGAGGGGAGCTGCAGTGATGACTGGTGTCCGTAGGTGACTGCGGATTTGGAGGGTGGGTGCCTGAGAGACAAAGCTCCAGGGACTCAGTGATGAGACACGGAGGGGGATCCTTCTCCCACTCCTGCCCCAGGCCCTGATATGCACGGTGCAACCACGGAGCAGCAGCTGAGGTTTGAAGGTGGGTGGGGCATCAGGGTGGCGATGTCCTCCACACTGGACTGTCTGGGGCACCCCTGAGGCCTGGCACATCCCAGGCAGCCTCCTGCCTCCCAGCCCTGGCTGGCTGTCTACATCAGGAGAGCTGGGTCCTGAGCCTGGAGCTCTTGGAGGGACAGGTAGGCGTCAGTGTCAGCGCAGCGGGAGGAAGGGGTCCTGCCCTGGCCCTGCCCGGGGGAGTCAGCCCCATCCTCAGGCCCCAGGGCAGGGGCCTCCTCCCCAGCCACGCCCAATGCCTGCTCCAGGGGTGACTGGAAACCCACTGGGTCGGGGCCCATTGGGATAGGGGATGCCAGCGGTGGAGGACCCCAGTCCTGGGGAGCCCCCTCCTGTAGGGAGGGGCGCAGCCTCTCTTCACTGATCCCAGCGGCCCGAGGGAGAATGTGGAGGGTGTTTGGGCCACCGTGGGGGGTGCTTGGGCCACTGTGGAGGCTGGAGAAGAGTAGCAGGTCCTCCCCTGGGGGAAAGGTGCAGTAGGCGTCATCTTCCCCTTGCAGGGGCAGCAGGGGTGCGAGAGGGGACCCTGGGGGTGCACCCTCCTCAGGCTCCGCCTCAGTACAGGGCTCGTAGGTGAAGTACACCTGGCAGGCCTCGATCTCCAGGGCGTCCGGGAGGTGGAAGAAGAAGTAGCCCTGGTTGGTGAAGCAACTTGTCTGTGAGTGGCCGCTGGGCGCAGGCGAGGGCAAGGGCACCTTGTTCTGCTGCAGCAGGAGCAGCTGTGCGGCCTTGGTGTCCTTGTCCAGCACTTCCAGCGGTGAGATCTCGGGCGCCGGGGCCCCCAGGCTGAAGGAGGATGAGGGGAAAGGCGAGGACAGCCACTTCTGCAGGAGAGAGGCCAGCAGAGGTGAGCGGCGTCTCTCTTCCCACCCGCTCAGGACTTCAGCGGTTGCCAGCGTCCCTACCAGGAAATCCCTAGCCTGTTCCCCACACCCCTCTGTCACGGACACCCAGACAGTCATAGAGCCCAACGCAGGCTCACAAATGCCCAGGGGATAAGCATGACTGTCCCTGAGTGCCCACTGTATGCCCAGTATTGTCCCAGGTGTAGGGCCAGGGCACAGGAGAGCATCCCCAGGGTGCCCAGAGGGCCCAGTGCAAAGTGTCTGCCTCCAGCAACCAAGCAGGGCCAGAGCAGGAGCCCCACGCGCCTATCCTGCTCACTTTATGCATGCTGTGGAACGGACACACCTAGGCCTGCGATGGCCGGGAGGGAGGGCGCTGGGACCCAGGGTGCGCGTGCTGGTTCCGAGCCCCTGATAAGGAGCCCCTTTCTTCCTGTGCCCAGCAGCCCCTCACCTTTGCCCACACAGGGACACATGACCCACGGGACATGTGGTGGTGGCTGGGAATCCACCAAGCCCTGGCAAGGAGTAGGGCAACCCAAGTTCCAGCCCAGCCGTGGCACCCTCTGGCCATGTGGCCTTGACCCTCTGTGAGCCCCAGTTTCCACAAGTGTTGGCCACTTCCTTCTTGATTCCCTCACTGTTATCTCTTGAGTCAGCAGGGAGACCCCCGGCCCAGGGAGAAAGCAGCTGCACAGACGTGGGTGGCGGGAGGCCCTAGGGGGCAGCAGGGACCCAGGACGGGTGCTTGAGAAGCCAGTGTCTGCTATCCCAGGAGCCCTCAGCAGTGGGGCTGTGGCCACCTAGGTACAGGAGCCAGGTGATTCCAGATGCATGAGTGCAGCAGCGGGACCTGCCTGGTTCCCTCTCCAGAGTGACTTCACACATGCACATTTGCACGCTCACTCAAACACATGCACACACTCAGGTGCAAACTCACTTGAGCAGGAGTGGGCCCCATGGCATTGGTGCTGGGCTCTGGAGAGGACAGGGACAAGACTGGGATTCCCATCCACCTGCTCATAGCTGGGCCATCCTGGCCAGCACCTCAGGCATCCCTCAGAGCCACCACTGCGCACTGGACCTGGGGCAGGAAGCTGGAGCCAGGGGTGGCGTGATCTCTACAACCCCAGGAGGGACCCTACTCTCCCAGCATTGAGTCCTAGGCCGGAAGAGGGCTGCGGATGCACCCAGTCTGGCCTCAACCAGCCCTCATAGAGGAAGCCCTGCTGCCAAGGCTTGCCTGGTTATCCTTACTGCTGGGGATCTCACTCCCTGGAGATCTGAGGGAAGAAGTGAAAGGAGACGTTCTCCAAATCGAGACTACCCGGGAAAGACATGGCCCCTGCCTCCTGAAGCTTAAGCAGGTGGGGCTGCGGGAGGGGAAGCCACAGAGCTGTGCAGGGGTTCCCAGGTCACTGCCAGGCGGGCCTACACTCACGGCCAGGCCCACACTGGGAACTCAAGGGAACTGAGGACTTGTCGGTGCTCCCAGAGCAGCACCCACAACTGTTTTCTCCGCATTTGCCAGGGGAGGAAAGTCAAGCACACAAAGGTCCTGGAACTTCCTTAGCTCACACAGTCAGGAAAGGGAGACCCCAGGCAGACTGGCCTACTCAGCAAAAGCCACTACTGTTGTGCCCCCTGCCCTGCCTTGCCATGCTCCCACCCACCCTACCCTGCCCGCCAGCCACACGCTCCTACCTGGAAGTCCCCTCCGTGCTCGGAGTTTAGCTGGGAGAAGAACTCTGAGGGGTCTGGGATGTGACACTTCAGGACTTTCTTCAGCCTGTGCAGGAGGGCAGGGGCAGCGTGTGAGCCAGGGAGGAGATGTCCTGTCAGCCCCACGCTGAGGGCTGGGCACAGAGCCAAGCGTAATGCCAGCTACTCAGAATGCTGAGGCAGGAAGATTGCAAGTGTAAGGCCTGTCTGGGCAAGTTAGCGAGACACTATCTCAAAAATACAAAATAATAACAAGAATAGCCAGCCAAGAAGGTGCCTGTTCTCTAACCCTGATGAGGAGAAAGATGAAGTGTGTGATATTCTGTGGAGACACAGAGTGGAGAGCTACTCAAGAGAAGGAGGTAGGAGGTGGGCAGGGGAGACCATGCAGGCCAGAGTGGTGAGGGCTACAGATGGCTGGAGCGGAGTGAGCCATGAGGAGGAAGGTAGAGGAGGAACCTCCCAGTTCGAGGCCGCCATGGAAGGAAGTTCAGGTTGTGCACTGCCCCAGGGCATCTGACTTGGAGGGAAACAAGGAGTTGGGGCTGAATCCCAGCCCACCTTCGGCTTTGCCAAGCTGAATGCCCAGAGCCAATATGCCCCTTCCTGGAAAAAATTCACCTTTTCCTAATCGGCACAAACATTTCAAATAGTGGAGGAGGGTCAGTGTACCCCAGTGGGAGTGGATTGAAGGACAGCGAGGAGGAGGGGGTGAGGGCAGTAGACTTCCGTGGGCAGCAGGTGAGGTGACCTCTTCCTGCCTGGGCAAAAGGCTGGTGGGCTTCGGGGAGGCGGAGGGGGATTCTCTTACCAAGGCCCGAGGCAATTGCCGCTGACCAAGAGGAACACAGAGATGATGACGCCGCAGACCAGCCCAAGGCCCAGGGCAGGGCCAAGGACCCAAGCGAGGGGCGGGGACTCCTTCCTCGGGGCTGCAAGGGGAGGGGAGAAGCAAGGAGAGGGTCTGAGAGACGCCCATCAACCGGCTCCCCCTCTGCCTGGTGCCACGGCCTGCCATCTGCCCATAACTTGCCTCAGGGCCTGTGCTGGGGACTGGGGCAGGGCCCTGCTGAAGCCCACCCTCTCCAGGAGGCCAGATGTGATACTTAAGGGAAAGGATGCCACGTAGCCAGGCACAAGGGTGGCACACGCCTGTAATCCCAGCCCTCTTGGGAGGCTGAGGCAGGCAAACTGAAGGTTTGGCTTGAGCCTGGGGGACTTAGCAACTTAGAGGAAACTTGATTCAAAATAAAACAGGGCTGGGGATGTAGTTCAGTCCAAAGGCTCTGGGTTCAATTCCCAGGACTTCGAAAAAGAAGAGGTAGAAGAGAGGAGCGGAGGGGAGGGGCAGATGCAGAAGCAGAAACTGACATTCCAGGAGCAGCTGGCTCCGCATGGGGCCCCCACAGCCCAGACTCTGCTCCCCAGCTTGCCCTGCGCACCACAGGGAGGACTCCGCAGGTGACAGGTGAGGGGTCTCTGCACTCTGGCAGGCCTGGCTATGACCCACCCTTGACCCCGCGCCCCTCTGGGATGTAGGGTATGTGGGAAGGGGTGAGGGGAGTGGAATTCTGCACCACCAGCTGCTCCTCTCCCTGCACTGCGGTACCTGCAGGCCTCGTCCTGAAGGCCAGGGCCTGGCTCCAGGGGCTCCACGCGTTGTGCTGGCCTTTCTGGGACCGTGTCCGCACCTGCAGCTCATACTGAGTGTCGGGCACCAGGTTCTCCAGGAAGATCCACTGCTGCCTCTGCTTGAGACTCAACGGGACATTCTCCTGGGTCAGGGACAGGGGCAGGACAGTCACATCAAGAGGTCTCCCTGCCCGCCACCTCCCACACAGCCTCTGCTCTCCCTCACTCCTTCCCTGACCTTCCCACTGCTAGACCAGACTGGCCCCAGGCCGGGCCCAGCACCCTCCTCCAAGCACCCCACACTTGAGCAAACCCCTCTGCAAGTCAACCAGCTGTCCCACCCCATGCCAGCCCCTTCTGGGGTCTCCTCCCCACTAGACACAACAAAGAGGACTGTCCCAAGCCTGATGGCTCCTTTCCCCATACCCACCCCCGCCCACAGCCAAGCTGCTGCCCCAGCCACGCAACTCCCTTATCCTGCCGAGGCCCCTCCACTGTGCCCAGCACAGCCCGTTTCCCATCAGTTGGGTTCCTCCTGTGTGAGCCCTCATCTCACCAGCATCACTTTCCACTTCCTCCTCCTGCCGGCACATAGTAGGTGCTCAGTGAGTAAGTGTGCATGGGCGACTCATGAACTGAGTGATCAAAGCAGTCATCTTCCCCCAGGGACACAGGGCACTGGGTTGGTGTTATGGTTTGAGTCTAGGTGTCCCCCCAAAACCTCATGCAGTCATGGGAAGGGCCTTTAGAGTTCTGATTCCTGGTTGTGAGTGCTGCACTGCCCTGGGGCAGATAGTTTGCATATGTAAGGGAGAAGAAGAGGCTGCTTGGCCACTCCTCCCTTTTTGCTCTAGCTGCTTGCTGTGTTCCACCCGACTGTTGCCCTCTGCCATGCGCCACTCTACCTTGGAACCAGCCAAGTATGGATTGACAGCTCCACAAACCATAAGCTAAATAAACCTTTCCTTCCTTAATTTTTGTCATCAGGTATTTTGTCTCAGCAACGAGAGAAAAGTAACCAAGAGAGTTGGAAGTATGGATACGGGGTTTCCCGGGGCCACTGAACTCTCACAAGGAGGCCACTGCTGCCTCGTGCCTTTGGGAGTCTGGCCCTGGGATCAGCCTGAAATCGGCCTCCAGCAGTGTGCCCAGGCTTTGAGAGCGGTGTCCAGCAGGACTGGAGGAGCAGCCAGGGTGGCTCCACTACCCACTGACTGCCAGCGCATGGGACCTCACTGAGACGGAGGACGACGCGGACGTGGACACACGCACACAGGACCCGTGGCCCCGGTGAGGACGGGGGAGGGGTGGTGAGGGCCGCCTCACCTCCCAGCTGTGGCCTGGCGACCGTGTCCGAGCCTCAAACTCCAAGTAGGAGTCGATGTAGTGGGAGACCTGGGTGAGGTGCCAGGTGACATTACATCTATTGGTGTCCACATAGGCGAGCTGGAGGGAGGTGGGGGCCACCAGGCGAACTGCAGATAAGAGAGACAAGGGGACAGAGAGCTGAGCGGTCCCTTGGCACCTGCTGTTCCGGTCCCCAGGTCCTTAGGGCCCTTGACCCCCTTCCTCCAGGTCTCTGTCCAGTGCCACCATTCGGAGAAGCCTGCCCTGGTTCCCACATCCGCTCCTGTTGCCTGCTTTAGTTTCCTTTCCAGCCCTAGTTCGGGTGCGCCTGCCCTACCCGCCAGGGAGCCCACTGAGGGCAGGGACTGTGCTTAGTTGACCTAAGTCTCTGTAATGGGAAGACGCTGCTAAAACGCGTAACATAAGTGAAAGTCTCCATGTCAAGCAGTTTCTTTGTCTTGGCTCAAAGACTCCTTCATGACCCCAGGAAACTAAGGTTGAGATAATCAGATACATGAGATCAGGGCAGGGATTTCACCTTCCACCACACCTCTTCCCTAGCCATGGCCCCCAACATCAGGGGAAACGGAGAAGACACTTAGTCATTCAACAAGCATCTGCAGAGTGCCACCTTGCGCAGGCTATGCTGGGTGCTCGGAAAGGAGGTACAGGGGCAGCAGAAACTCTGCCCTTAGGGAGCTCATGGCCCAGGAAAGAGACAGACCTACAATCAGGCAGTGAGAGCAGGACTTAAACTCTACAAGAGGAGGTACAAAAAGCTGGGGGAATCTGGGAGGGCCTCCTAGAGGAGGGGATACTTCACTGTGCCCAGAAGGACAGCAGGCATTTCCCAGTGGAAGGGCCTTCCAGAAAGGGAACCAGCACGTGCAGAGGGGAGGGGCATGGAAGGCAGAAGTAGCCTTTGGTTGAGGGCAGGGAGGATGCTGGAGGGAAGGAGGGGCCACCCGGCTCCTCACTCACGGTACTCAAAGGGCTTGAAGTTCTTGGTCAGCACCATCCGCCACTGTCCACCTTCCCAGCACATCACACGGGCAGTAATGATATCCACAGAGGTCAGCTGCTGAGACTGTGAGAGGAGAGAGGATCGCATGGAGCTGCCAGCAACAGGGTTCAGAATGTAGACACGAGATTGAAGGGACACAAGCAGGATAGGAGCAGCGACAGCAAACATTGTTCATAACAGGACAACATTTTTGGCTGTTAAACCACATAGTATTTGTCACTACTACTCAACTCAGCCATTGTAATGTGAAGTAGCCATAGATGGCGTATGGATGAATAGCAGGGCCACATTTCAATAAAACTTTATTTACAAATACAGGCAGAGGGCCACATTTGACTCATAGACTGTGATAGTTTACTAACCCCTGATTTGACATGGGAAGGAAGCTAGCTCCCCGTCACTAGAGGTATGCAAGCAGTAAGCCCTCAAGGAAACCCCCAAACAAGGTGGAACCTGTACCTGTTTAATAGCTAAATGGGTCCTCTCCCCATCCCCACCCCGCCCATCTTTTCTGGAGGGAAATGGCCAGGTATTGAGTACCTCCTGGAGAGCTGTTGCTCAGCCCCCTGAGCTACTTACAAAGTGTGATTTAAAAATATGGTGTGTATTGAGAAAATTATTACAGTAAAAAATACATTGTCATCAACCCTCCCTCAAAATACTCCTGCTGAACACACTAATCCCAGTGTTATTGCCACTTTCAGAAGCAATTCTGGAAGTCTTCTTTTGTGAGTATCTTTAGTTGCACTGTCCTGGCTGCCTAGATGTGCTGAATCAATTCAAAACTTTGACCTTCCATGGTCATTTTGATTTTAAAGAAGAGCAAGAAGTCACATACTGCCAGATCTGGTGAATGAGGTAGATGAAGACACACCGTAATGTTTCTATTTGACAGAAATTGCCATTAACATTTTTTAATCAATTCAGGACATAGAAGGAGCCAAAAAAAGACACTCATGGAAGAGAATGTCCAGAACTGCTTCAGAAAGTGGCAAGAATAATAGGATAAGTACATTCGAAGGGAAGGGGAATGTTCTGGGAGAGATTCATAGCAAGGTGTCTTTCACTGTGGTTAGTTTTTAAATTTAAAAATTTATCACATTTTTGATCACCTCTTGTCCTTCACAGATAGCACCAGGGTCCCTCCCCACAATGTGGTGAGGAGACTTGCCCTAGACCACTCAACTGGTCAGCAGGAAGCCCAGGCCATGCATAAGCCTCTGCACCCTTAGCCCACAGAGTGACCACAGCTATGAGAAAGGCCATCTTCCTGCCCAGTGCTGCCGAGTGAGGGTCTCCCAGCCCTGCGGGCCACACAACGTAGCCCAGGAGGAAGCTCAGGACAGGCCCTCTGGGACCCGTGCTCGGGCCAGCCCAGCTGGTGGTTTGGGGTTTAAGCCTCCAGACTCAGCCTGTTGAACTCTCTGAGCAGATGGTGGCCCTGATCATCAGCGCCCTCTCAGCTGGTCAGCCCTGCACCCCAGGACCTCTCCCTCACCTTCTTACAGTAGTTGTGGGAGCCCAGCTTCCCTGGATAATAATCACATGACCATTGTCACAAAGATGGTGCCAGTAATGAGCTCCCAAGAGTATTCGCTCTCTGCCAGGCACTCGCCCAAGCACTTCACAGATTGTCCCATTTAATTCCCTCAGTGCCCTCTGAGACAGGCACTATGGTTGCTCCCATCCTGCAGGTGAGACTGACCCACAGAGAGGCTTAGGGACTTGCCTAAGGTCACACAGCTAGGAGCTGCTGGAGCCAGGTCATCTGCCGGACTCCCTCAAGGGGACATAGTGTCTGGTTCCTGCCACACTGCCACTCCAGCCCCCCATACATGCAATCTGCAAAACCTGATGATGGCTGGAAAACGGCGTGGGGGGCCCCAGTGCCCACCAGTGCCCAGGAGGGAGAGCAGGGAAGGAGCAGCAGGGCAGCGTCCTCACACTGTCACCCAGGGCCCCTCTTCCAGGCCACTGGCTCCTCCCCGGGGACCCCTGGAGCAACGGGGATGCCTTCGCCCCACTTCCCCCTGGCCAGCAGACTCACAGTCGGAGATCCGAGGACCAGGTTACAGGCCCAAGTCGTTGGGCTCACTGCGAACATGGAGCAGGTCCGGTTCCAGGGCCTGTCAAAGCAAAAGAGCCTGCTTAGAAAGAAAGGGGGACCCCCTTCAACTCACTCCCCACCAGACAGCATCAGGCCAGGTAACGGTCCAGCCCCCACAGCTGTCTGGGGCTCTCTCAAAATCCTACATTATTCAAAAATGGTGGGGAACCCCGCTACCCACCGCGGCACTCCACGCCCGCCTCTGCTGACCATGGCACAGCAGGCTCAGCAGCCCCTTGTCCCCAGATTACCTTTCCCAGCTCTTCCCTCGACAGCAGCTTGCACCCCACCCTGAGTCCAGGAGCCTAAGCAGCTGACTGAGCAACTCTCTCAGCCAATGCCTCAAAGAGTATATGAGTCCTGGGAACCCGCAGCTCAGTGAGCACAGACGTCATGGAGGCTGATAGTACGATCTGGTGGCCTTGAGATCGCATGGTCCCAATATCCTGCATTTCCCTTGGGCTGCACTCACCGCTTGTCTGACCGGGCGCGGATGTGGCAGGATGTGTTCTGCACACCCTTCTCCTGGCTCCACAGGCAGGAGATGTTGGCTTGAGAGTTGTAGAAGCATTCGAGCTGGGAAGACTCTATGGGCAGGACGGGCGTGAGTGGCTGGCTGCTTGGTGCCTGCGGCCTCCGGGTACAGCCGTCACCCAGCTCCTGGTGTCCTGCGCCTACGCCTCCCCCCTGCCTCCTGCTGCTGCCGCTCCTGGACCTTCTGCCAAGAAGCAGCGGTCTGGAGGGGCTCCAGCAGGCCCTGGCCCCTCTGCTAGGGAAATCACAGCTGCCCAGATGCCAGGGTCCTCACCGTTCACTGTTGCAGACACCGGAGGGGCTGTCAGGGGCAGGAGGAGGACCAGCAGGGGCAGACACCAGGACAGAGCTGGGCCCGCCATCACATGCACAGAGCCGAGCTGAGGGGGGAAGGCCTAGGGGGGCAAAGCGAAGTGAGCGCCTGTACCCCAGGCCCGCTGCCCCCCTCACAGCTCTGCCCCGCACCAGGCCTGCACGGCCCGGCCCTTGGCACCTTCGGCTGCCACTGCCCACAGCTGCTCGTGCCCTTCCTTCAAGTCTCTGCTCAGGTGTCCCGTGCGACAAGAGGAAGAGGGGACACTGGCGCCCAGCACCAGCCTCCGCGTATGGGTTTCTCGGCACAATCTCCACGATACCCACAGTCATTTTGATCACTGGGATGGCTGCTGAGTGGCTACAGGGCGGGCACGTGCACACCTGGATGTGCTGGGCCAGGGGACGAGCCAGGACCCACAGGACCAGACGAGACAGGGTGAGGCTGATGGCGCTGCTCAGAATGGCGCACAATTTAAAGGGGACAAATTGTTTCTGGGATTTTGCATTGAATATTTTCTTGCTGTGCTTGATCCCATGGAATGGAAATTGAAGCAACACATGGGGGAAACCTTCACTGTATTCATTCATTTTCTAGCTTTACACACACACACACACACGCACACGCACACACACACAGATGCACATGGGAGTCATGCAAACCTGTGCGGACAGAGATCTAGGGTGCCCAGTTCCTAAACCAGGCCCTGGCACACAGGGCAGCCACAAAGGGGAAAAGCAGATTATCAAAGGAACAAACGTGGAGCCATGACAGCACAAGCCAGCCCATGGGGGTTCCAGAGCTTCCCCCCAGCCCCGGCCTGTCCCCTGCCGCTGCCCTTCACTCTGTGTCCAAAGGAGTTGACGAATCTGTGAGAAGGCAGCAAAATGTGTTGGTAGCAAGAGAAGCCACTGGCTGGGCTGGGGCGAGCCCTCAGGGCCAAGGTGGACATTACACTAGATTCAGGCACCAGCAAGGGTGTTTCTGAAGGTCTCTGTCCTCCCCGAGCGCAGCTGCCTGGGAAGAAAGCGTGTTCTGTGCACCTGGGCTTAGGGTATGGCTGGCTGCTCCCTAGAATCCTGCCCCATCGGCCCTGTACCTCCAAAACGGAGCCTGGGTTGGAGGTCCCCTCCCTGCCAAGGGCCAAGCCGCCCAGCTAGGGGCAAGGAAGGGTGGAGGCCCCGCCGTACCCCAGGCCAGACGCTCCCAGGGAATATGGGCACCTCTTCTCCACAGATGGGCTATGTGTAATGTGGCACCTAAAATTCAGCTTGAAAAGAGCTGAAAGTGCATTAGGCAAAGAGAGACACAGAGCTATTTCACTCTAGAAAAGGAAATCATGACAATGCCATGATCACAGTGCCTCGCTCCTCGCAGACGCTGTCCAAACACTGAGTGTGTACAGATTCATTCATAATGTCTATGCATTAGAAGGTAGCTCTTTGGTCCTGCTCACTTTGCAGATGGGGAAACTGAGGCTCAGAGGGATACCTGTCTACACACTTGCTCCCCTGCCTGCCTAAAAGCACCTGTAGGTGGCTAAGGAGCCCCCAGGTTCTCCCTAGAGAAGGACAAATAAGACACCCCAGAAAAAGACTCAGAAGGTGTCCCTGCATATCCAGGAAACACTGGCCGGCCAGTATTTTTTCTTTTTCTCTGTACTGGGATTGAACCCAAGGCCTTCACCTTGAGCTACATCCTCAGCTCATTAAAAAACATTTTTTTTTTTTTTTGAGACGGTGTCTCTTTAAGTCACTAAGTTGCCCAGGTTGGAGTCAAACTCATGACCCTCCTGGCTCAGCCGCCCAGAGTGCTGGGATTACAGGCATGCACCATCACTCCCGGCCTGAGCCAGAGCTTCTGTGAGCATCACCCCAGGCAAGCGTCCCCGACACCCTAGCTCCCAGATCTGCTCCCTGGAGCATCTGCTACCCAGCCCCAGTGCCGGAGTCCCTCGGCCGCCACCCTCAGTGACCATAGCATCCTCCAGCCTGTCAGGGACTGTCAGGGACTGTCAGGGACATTCTAGCCACAGGATGGGAACTCCACACAGGGAAAGCTCAGGATGTGACCTGTGGCCATGGAAATGCTCAGAGAGGCGAGACTGTCACCACGCATGTCCTGCAGGGTCCCAGTTCCCACAGAATGAGGACGATGAGCACAAGGTCATTAGGGAGATAAAGGGACACGCAGGAACCTGGGTCAGAGCAGACAGAAAGGACAGCGGGGAGATGGGTGGGGGCTGAGGGACAGGGGACAGGGGCCTAAGTCTGAGGGCCAAGATGGAGGTGGAGCAGGTGGGGTGGAGTAGGTGCTGAGGAGTGTCCCTCGACCCCCTGGGTCCCTCATCCCCCTGTGTCCCTTGTCCCCCCGTGACCCTTGTCGCCCTTGCTCTTTGGGCCTAAGATCCTCCCAATTCCCTTACGCTGGGCACTGGCTTCTCCCCAGTGAGACCCCTCTCCCTCCCCACCTCTTACCCCCACTGGCTCCAGCCTCACCACCCCAGGGTCAGGGGGCCAAGACCACCGAGTCCAGCCCAGCTCTCCCCCCCTCTGCCTCTCGGGTCTGTTGTCCCAGTGCAGTCTCGAGCCCTCCCCACACACAGCCTGCCAGGAAGCCCCCAGGGCAGCATGGCCCAGTGACAGCCCGCCCACTTCATCTTCTCCACCCTCCCGGGCAGGCAGCATCCCTCCAGCCTGGACTGTGCAGTGGCGTCTGCTGCAGAGGCCACAGCTCGAGCCTTCAGCTGCATTTCCCAAAGCTCCCTGCAGCCGGCAAGGTGCCCAGAAACCAGCAACGGCCCTGCCGAAGCCACGGCTCAAATGCAGCCCTTCAGCTTGGCCCTCGTGGAGCAAGCGCACACGCGCGTGCACGCACACAGGCTCTCCCTCACACGCATCACATCTTCCTACCTGCACAGGCCAGAGGCTCTGGATTAAGCCTCTAAATGCCCTTCCAGGGTACGTCATTGCCCCACAAGCCCTCTAGGTCCTGTTGTCCTTCAAGGCCATTTTAAATGCTACCGCTCTCCTTCAGCGAGGCCGGCCTCCCGGATCTCACCAGTGGCAGGCAAGGACATCCTGATCTGACCCCTGTCCTCCTCTAGAGGGGCAGCAGCTGGGATGGCCGGGCAGTGCATTCACTCCTCAGACTGCAGAGCCTGGCCCACAGTGGGTGTTCAATAACTGCAGATGAATGAATGGATGGATGGATGGATGAATGGAAGAATGGATGAATGAGTGAATAACCTCAGAAGTCTCCAGTACTACAAAAAAAGCAGGGATAGGTCACTTCAGTGACTGTACCCTGCTGCCCCCGTTCATCGCCCCAAAACTGTCCAGTGAGCGCTTACTGTTCACCACTGCACACGAGACTCCAAAAACATGAAACAAGGAAACTGAGGCATGGAGGTGAGGCCTGCGCCCAAGGTCACATGGCTGATAAGAGGCAGACCTGCTTTCCCCCCGGGGGCACAGCCAGAGCCCAGGCAGGAGGCCTCGCCCCACAGGTACCCCTTCCACTGTGACACAGTGAACTGTGACTGTGCTCGCCATGGGTGCCAGGGCCTGCTGTGTGCCAGCCCCTGTGACAAGCGCCTCACAGCAGTGTCTTTCGTGTTCTTTCAACCCCAAGCACAGACAGGAGAGTGGTCCTTAACCTCCTCGGGGACACGCTGAGCTGTGTCCAGCCAAGGCTCCTCCATAAGGCCTCCTCTCCTGCTGTCGCACCTGCCCCGGCCCCACCTCCAGACACTGGCCCCACGGTTAAGGCCAGCAGCCTTTGGCCCTGGGGGTTGGGTCCCAGCCCACTGGTCCCCCAAAGGATGAGCTCTCCGGAGCAGGGCCCACTTGCCTGTCTTTGAATCCCCCAACAGACAGGGCCCCAGGTTGGGACCCTGAAGAATATAAAACCTAACAAAGGGTGTACTTCTTACAAGCCCCTCCCCTTTCACGGCTAATCATGCCAACCTTGCTCTGGGGATGGGTACTGTGTGTCCTTGGTAATGGGTTACCCAGGACAGGCCCAGCCACCAGGATGACTTTGTGCCTAGGAATGACTTGGGACACAACGCCAGAGGAGCAAAGGGCAGGAGGGCAAGGGTGCAAGATCACAGGAAGGCCAGGGTCAAACCACAGGCTCAGCAAAGAGGCGCAAAGTAGACAGAGAGCATGGTGGAGTCTGTCCCTGCCGCCCCTGTCAGAGGGGTGCACGGCTACACGCCCAGGGGGCGAGGGCAAGGTGAGCGGAGGGCGCAGGTGCCAGAGGGGTCAGGCCGGGGGGCTCCTCACAGCCACAGAGGCTGCATCCTCATGCTCAAGGGGGAAGCTCTGAGTCTCAGGGAGGTTTGGGAACGTGCCCAAAATCACCCCGGGAGAGGCCAGCCTCGGGGGACACTAAATAGAGATCGGGATCTCTGTGCTTCCAGCACTCTGCCCCCGGTGTTGCCCCCACACACGTGTGCCAGGCAGGTTGGCACGGCCACAAGCCCACTCACAGCCACTGACTCATTACGTCCCCACCACAAGCCTCGAGGTGGGGCTCGTCACCCCTTATCACCAGTGTCAGAGCTGGAGCTCAGAGCTGCTCAAACACCACCTAATTTCCAGCAAGATGACGACGATGGCCAGAAAGACTAGCTGTGCTCGGATGACTAACACCCACTCTCCAGCCCCAGCCCGGCCCCGGCCCTTGGGAGATGTCACAGTGTGTAATCCTCCCAGCCGCCCTGGGAGCCAGATTTAGTGCTACTCCTCTGTCCAGATGGGGAGACCGAGGCACAGGCCAGCCTCTTGCCCAGGGGCAGCCTAAAGCCCTGCTGGCCTGTGGGGTGTGTGGTGGGCTGGGGCAGGATGGTAAAGCAGGAGCTCGGTCACTGGGGGCGCTTCGTGTGGCCTCCGAACTCAGAGCTCCATCTCCGTTTGGCCTCTCTGACCAGCCCATCACGTACACACAAGCATAAGCACATTTACACGTACACACGCGCACACGCACACACTGAGTGCACCCTTCTCGCCGCTGAGCTCCAGCCGCATCTCTCGGCAGTGTGTGGGATCCTGGCTGTGGGGGGCAGAGTGGGGATGCTGACAGCACCACTCCTCCCCGAGCCACCCTCAGCACCCTGAGGTGCTACAAACACAGCTCAGCCTCCCTGGTCCCTGGATGTGCTGCTGTCCTCGTCACACAGCCAAGCAAGGGACAAATTCCAGCCAGAGCCCAGGGCACCAGAGACAGGCCTGGTCGCAGGGGTCCCCTCTCTCCTCCCTCACCCACAGCTTCTTGGGGAGCAGTGTGCACAGAGCGCACATCTGGGCCCCTCTCCACGGAGGTTGGTAGGGGGCCCCATCTCCCTCTCCTCACCTCCTGGGGCCTCTCTTGCCCCCAATCCAGCCACCCACCTCCCTCTCCGCCCTTCTGGGTTGGGGGCCCCAAAGTACAGGGCCCACCCCGGAGCAGCTCCGAGTCCCCCAGGGGTCAGGGCAGGAGGGTGGCCTGGCCCAGGCAAGCAGCTTCTTCTCAGGGGCACCCATCCCCAGGGATTCTGGGGAGGCTGGGGATCGGAGTTGAGGCAGGAACCCCTGGGGAACATCTTCCCAGTAACCACTGCTCCCAGAGGACAGGGCAGGGCAGGGCAGGGCAGTGCGGGGCAGGGCAGGGACATCACCTGGCTGAGACATGAGGCTGTGGCAGTGTTCTCCCTGCTTCTGGGACCTCGGCCATCTCGGGCTCCTGCAGCCCGGGTAGCAGAGAGACAACTGTGGGGCCGGCAAAAACTGCAACCCAGGGCCGGCCCACTTCCTGTGCAGAGCGTGGAGGGACGGGCGTCGGGAGGCGGGGAACAAGGACAGTGAGAAAGCCCGAAACTCCTCAAGCACCTAAGTGATAAGATCTCCCTCCCACGCGGGGGCGGCCGCTCACTGGGCTGCGCAGCAGTGCACGCCCTCACACACGCGCACGTACTCACACGCGTGCACGCTCACAGAGGCCAGGCTGCACACCAGAGCCCAGGGGCCCAGCCCTCTGTGCGCCCTCATCTCATACAGGCCACGAAGCCTCACCCGACATCTGGTTGCACGCACAGTCCCACCAGGCCTCACACAAACATACCCCTCTAAGTGTCGCTAGGGCTCCCCACATCATCCCGGCCTATGACACAGTTATCACTCAGAGGTGCCCCTTTTCACCCGGTCTTCCAGGAAGCCCCTCACTCAGTTTACCATTCAGAGCCAATTGGTGATTAGGGCTTGGTGAGCAATTTGATGACCCCTTACTCATCATTTTAAGTCTCTCTTTTTCTGTCAAGTCATGGTTCCTATTCCTTTTCTTATTTTTTATTGGGTTTTATTTTGAGGTACTGAGGATTGAACCCAGGGCCATCACACTGAGCTACAACTCCAGCCTTTTTTATTTTTTATCTTGAGACAGGCTCTCACTGAGTTGCTAAGTTGTCCAGGCTGGGCTGAAACTTGTGATCCTCCTGCCTCATCCCCTCAGAGTGCTGGGATTACAGATGTGCACCACTATACCTGGCTCTTTTCCTCTTTGGCTTTTCTATTTTAATGATGAGTATTTACAGAGTTCTCCTTAAAAAATGCACAACTAGGGGCTGGGGATTTAGCTCAGCGGCAAAAAGCGCCTGCCTGGCAAGCGCAAGGTAGTGAGTTCGGTTCCCGGTACCGGAGAAAAACCAAAAAAAAAATGCACAACTATTTCTGCACAGCGTCACGGGCTCATGGAGTGACTCCACCCCCAGGGTTCGGCTCTCCCTCTCCCCGACTTCAGTGGTCCTGCTTCAGAGGGTTTATGGAAAGCTGCTGCCTCCTCTGAGGGCTGGTAGGACAGCTTCCCAGAGCCTCCCATCTGCACAGATGTGAGCAAGTGAGACCCCCAGAGGATCCAGCCCAGCTCCCTCCTGCGAATCCCAGAACAGAGGTGGGGCTGGAGACGCATAGAGCAGGGTGAGGAGCCGAGGTCCAGGCTGCTCAGTAGCTGGGTGACCTTGGGTGACCTTGGTATCTCTGTGCTTCAGTTGCCGCCTGTAAAACGAGGACTGGCAGTTCCTGCCCGGAGTACCGAGAAGACTAAACCACAGTGTGTGTAATGCACCTAACGTGGCCGCACACAGGTTTGCAGTCAAGGCCAGTGCCCCCCAGAAAAGTTCATGTGTTGGAAACAGAGTTCCCAAATTCACACGTTGATGGCATCTGGAGGTGAAGTATTTGGGGGGCCATTAGGATTAAATGAGATCTTGAGGGTGGGGCCCCCATCAAGGCATTAGTGGCCTTTTAAGAAGAGAAAGAGACAAAGACCTGAGCAGGCACACTTGCTCCATCTTGCCATGTAGCGGCCTCCACAAGTGATGGTGCAGCAGAAAGGTTTCACCAGGGACCAGCATCATGCTCTCAGACTCCCAGTATCCAGAACCATATGCAAAATAAACCTCTGCTCTCTATAAATCACCCAGTCCATGGCATTCAGTTACAGTAACAGGAAAGGCACTGAGACTCCCTCTACCCCTTCCCTTCTCTCTTGGAAGGTTTTTCAGCTACAGGAGAGGGTAATAAACACAACCACCACCACAGGAGAATAACAGTCACCATTTATTCAGCCGAGGACATTTCTGGAACCTCCACAAGCCCGGTTTGCAGGTTCCCCCAGGGAGGAGGCCAGGAGAGGTGTAGGAAGGTGGATTTGTGCTGTAGATCCTTTTGCACACTCAAACTTATTTCCTCTTTCCCAGATAAATGAATTCAATTAAAAGATTCAGAAGTAACTGTAAAGAAAAATCACAACCTCAGGCAACACCAGGAGTCACAGATCCCACTTGAGACAAGCACAGCCTTGTCCAAGAAGTGACATCGGCCTGCCTGGTGGGTACAGTCCAGGACCCTTCCTCCTCTTTTCTTTCTTATTTCATTCATTCAGTAAACACTTCCAGAGCATCCAAGATGCTCAAAGGCCAGGTCAGGCACAGAGGAGGTGGGTGAGCCCTGGATCCCTGGGACATATGACATCAGGGTGGCTTCACCTGTCAAGGCTCCTGGAACAAAATGGGAGATGGAGCGGGGACGGAAAACCCCTCAGTGTACCCACCCCAGGGCAAGGCTCCTGCTATCCCAAAGGCCAGCCCAGACAACCTCAGGTGGTAAAGAAAGGGGGTCTAGGCCCAGCCAGGAGAGAGGAAACTTCCTCACAACCTTGGTGCCTTCTTCAGGAGTGTCAGGGCTATGGGAGATGTCAGAGGATGGGTCCCCCTGAAGGATGGGTGTTCCCCACCTCCCGACAATCCACCCTTAACTGTGATGTGAGAGATCAGCTTCATCTGTGTCAGATCTCTGGGATGTGGGGCCACTTGTCTGGGCAATCAGCAGTGGTATCCTGACTGTACAGCCAAGCCAGGTGTCTGCCTGGTCCTAACACCAGGTAAGGAAGGGAGAGTTGCAGGTGGGATGCAGGTGGGGCCCAGCGGTCTGGGAGCTGCTTGGGTGCAGGTACACAGAAATGCACCAGCCCTCTTCAGCACCTCGTGGTCAAAGCTGTGTGGTCTCCCACCAGCCAGGACCCCTGGAGCCTCCTCCTGCTCTCCACTCCTGAATTTCCAGCCAGGATGACTGTCGCTGACTACTGCAAATTCTTAGCCACCCATAGGACAGAATTTAAACATGGGCTGATGGTTCAGCCTGCTGACAACTGTCACTTTGGTCTGCCTCTTCTTCAGGGCCCTCCAAAGGGAGCGTCCCCCATGTGCTTCCACAATCTTGCCAGTCAGCTGAGAGTTCCTGGTCAATTCACATAGAAATCACAAACTGGCAAAGTGTAGCTCTTTTATTGTTAACAGCTCTGAGCTTTGAATGCCAGCAGCGATGAGCTCTTAGTGCTAGTGCCCCATACCCTTGTCACTCAGAGCCACCAGCTACTGCGGGCTTCAGGAACTCCGGCCACCAGAGATGGCAACTCCTGACAGTTCTGATTCTCTCCAGCATCTTCTTCTGCCAGCGCTTCCAGTGTTACCAGCCCTGGCTGGTGGCAGCTTTCGGCTTCAGAGGCCTTTGGTGTTACCAGCTCTTAGCGTACCCACTCAGGCTGCTCGACTCCAGATGGAAATCACAAGTGGGCAAAAATACGCTGCCTAGAAGCGGCTTTTTAGCTGTATAATGCAGCATAAGGGAGAACAGCGCATGGGCTGACCCTGCAAAGGGTATGGAAAGGTCGCTCATAAAGGCAAAAGCTGGGCTTGTGCAAGTACAGGGTCACACTTCCTATTTGGTCACCAATCGGTGACCCTTCTTGGACCTGACTGAGGAGGGAAGCAGAGGGGTAGGAGCACCCCAAGATCTGGGCTTGGTCTGTGACCGAAGCCACTGCAGGCAAAACAAGAATCTCCCAGAGCAGCTGCATGGCATCTGTGGCAGCTGGGTGGCTGGGTGGCGTCTGGGGCACAAAAGAAAATGGACTCCTGTCTCACAATCTTCCCAACCTCCAACCGTTCACCCCTTCCTGCCGTGTGCAGCACCCTCACCCTCACACACACACACGAGCAACGTGTCCCAATCCCCAAGTGTGAAAGTGTCTCCCAACGTCACCCACACGTAGCATGTCACCCTGCTGGTCACCAAGCCCACCTGCTCCTGCGGCCCCTCTCGTGGGCAGCATGCTGAGGTTCCTGGGCCATCCAGCCGGGAGGCAGGGGAGCTGGGTAGACCCCACGTCTCTCCCAGAGGACACTGAGGCACCATGACAAGGAATCCAGAAGCTCCCAATGGCAGGGGCCTGACAGCCCACCGGGCCTCCCGGCCCCAGACCCCTCCCCACACAGCCGCACCTCCCCACACCACTGCACCCTCCCCTCCCCGGTGTGTCCTCACGGGGCCCATCGTGAACAGTCTGCCCCACAGCCCACTCGCCACAGCACCCAAGGACCCTGCTTTCACAGGGCCATGGGGTACATGCATACTAGGGTCTTCTGGCCTCAATGTCCCCTCCTTTTTCTTTTTCTTTTTTTGGAGGCAGGGGCTCGCTATGTACTTTGCACTGTCCTTGAACTCACTATGTAACCTAGGCTGTCTTTGAACTTGTGGTGATCCTCCTGCCTCAGTCTTCTGAGTGTAGGATCAGGTATGTGCCACCACACCTGGCTCAGTGTCCCCTCCTGACTGTGACTTTTCCCTGCCAATTACAGGGCAGCCTCCAATGGAGACGAGGCCATCTGGGCCTGTTCCAGCTCTGCCCCCAATGCTCCCATCCCTGTCCCTGTGCCTGGGGTCCTGCTTTCGGCTCCTGGCATTCCCCTCCACTTTTACCTCTGGGAGATGTCAGGGGCTGTGCTCCCTGGATCTTCTGTCCCCCTGTGTCTGTGCCCATGGCCTACACCTGCACTTCATCATCGCAGACCAGGGTCAAACCAGTCCCCACCCCCTTCTCCCCTACAGAAGCGTCCCATTTAAGACTCATCCAGCTGCCTGTGTCAAAAGAGAACAGAAGACCAAAACAGTGTCCTAAAATAAGAGAGGATTCTATTTTTCTTCATTCAAGAGGTCCAGAAGCAGGCAGTCTGGGGCGGGGGCGGCAGCTTTCCAAGGTCAGGATCCTGAGCTAACTCTCTGTTGCTACTGTAATATCCTTGGTATCTTCCTCCTACCTCCTCAGACACCAAGAGAGCTGTTCAAGCACCACCCATCACATCCTCATTCTTGCTGGAAGGTGAAAGGAGGAGTGAAGGGCATACCTCTGCCTCTTAAGGACTCTTCCCTAAAATTGCCCTAGATATTCCTAACATCCCATTGGCTATAACTGGTCACATGGCCAACCTAGCTGCAAAGGAGGCTGGAAGAAGAGGGCATGTGGTTGGGGGAA